GTTCCCTGGGAGGATCGGTTTAACACAGATGAAGACTTCTCCATTCAACACGTCCTAACAGATCACCAGAGAACAATAAATCAAGTCGCTATGTTGATGCCTGTTACATCACATTACATTACATTGCATTTAGCTGACGCTTTTATCCAAAGCGATTTACAATAAGTATTCACTGTTCAAAACATTCACATCAATAAATCCTTTACTAACTATTATTGTTGTCAGTCTTACATTTGTATTTGTTGCTTCTGCCCTCCTCGACTACGGTCTGGGAGCCGACAGGAAAGTTCAACACACAGATGGCCAGTCCCCCCCTTTTGTAGCATATTATTTCGATGAGAGATGAGCAGATCGCCACTGGGCTTTCAACTAAATACACAGCCACGCAAAAACTGCGGCATTTGTACAGCTCCTTATGGGTACTGCAATTTGTGAAGTGCTTTCCTCCCCGTTGAAACGATCAGCACTGCACCACGGAGGAAAGCAGCAGAAAGTCACCTGGAGTAAAGAGAGCGGGGCTGCGTTGCGTGCATGGCTTCCTTCTGCAGGTAACGGGGAGACGCGCTCTGGCGGCGGTCTCGTTCAGGATCAAAATACAATTTAAATATTTTGCACACTTATTCCTAGTGTGCCACTGGTTACGGTGCCGCGTGCCAATGCTGGCACGCGTGCCAGGGGTTGCCGACCCCTGCGCTAAAGCAACTAAAATCTCTCACCAGCAAAACACCTCGTCAGTTAAATGCCATTTTACGTTTCATTACGATACAGTATTTATTATTATAGTATTACTATTTCGGCGATTAGCTAAAATATTAATTATATTTGATGCAACTTTAGTTACATTTCCATGACTTTTCCAAAACTTTGGGAAAAATATTGTTTTCCATAACTTTTCCAGGACCTGGAATTAGCATTTTGAATTTCCATGACTTTTCCAGGTTTTTAATGACCGTAACAACCCTGTAAATTTTTGAGAAAAATCGTTTTAACTGGACATAAAGGGGATGGAAAACTGTCATCTGAAGGGTAACAATTTAACATGTTCCTAGAGCTTTTAGATAAACGCAGTAGAGTACAAATCTAAAAACTAATGCTTTTAGATTTAATCTAATAATAGCTTATAAATATATACTTACAAATTAGAGCTTTTAGATGAATACAGTAGAGTATAACGTACACAATCTTGTTCATATAGTTGAGTAGAAGTATAAAGTAAAATATCAAAGTAGAGTTTAAGTACCTTAAATGTGTACTAAAGTATTTGGTAAACATTTGTAATTACATTCCCACACCGTGTACATCTCAGGTCAGCTGTGATGTTTTAAAAAAAAGTTGAAAATAGTTTCTTTCAATGAACAAGAGAAGGATGTAGACACAGTGTATCCGCAACAGAAGACAATGCCGACGATGCCGTCAACACACTAACACAACACACACACCTGAAGCGGAACGTGTGTAAACAAAACACAAAAGGTGGGATTATGCGCTTATACCTCTTTGATGCAGTCCAGGCTGCAGTCCTGAGGAGTGATGGCCCCCTCCTGAGCCCAGACATGCTGACAGGGAGCCGAAAAGAGAAACACAACAAGCGCTGCCGTCCACATGCTGCTAAAGCGCGCATGACATGGTCCAACTGCAAGCACCAGAGCTCAAAAACACACAGAAACAATAAGCACTAAGCGTCTGGAGGAAGCAAGCGTTGGAAGCGTGAAGTGTGTAGTGCGTGAGAGTAAGTGACAGCAAACCAGGGAGGAGGCGTTCAGGGGAGTGGTGTCTTCAGGCTACGGGGTGGGGGGTGCAGCCAAGCCAACGAGCGTGTTTTAACAGTGACGCTGCCAGACGTGTTCATTCTGTGCTGCAGGAGCAAGAGGTGAGCAGCCGGAGCCAAACATACCTCATCCAGAGTCGACTCTCGCAGGAATGAGATTTCATAAAGAAGCCAAATGAATCTTTCAGTTAACCGAGTCATACCAAGGCTATTTATTATCATGTTAATGAGCTATACACACATGAATGTTTTCACAGGAAACATTTGCAATTCAAATACATCTGGGAAATTTAGTATTTCAAAGTCAAGTCATGAATCAATAGTTTATCACATCTTGATAAAGCATTGATTAAATGAGTAAAATAACATGGAACGTAACAAAAGAAAAATCTGCATGAAGGATTCCAGAGAGTGAAGAGGACAGCGGTTTCACCGGATCTGAAAAACAAACGAGCGCAATACACACGATTAAACGTCCCATCTGAACAAGTAATCAAACTTTGATTAAAGGAATATTTGTAGTCTGCCTGTTTTAGATTAAATGATTGATGTCCTTTGTGAAAGCAAACATCTCACAAAATCCCGTGCCAGTCATGTATACACAAACACATGCACTCTCACTAAAATGACCAGCATAGCACCATGTTTTTAACATTCAAGGCGGTTGGAGGTTTTCAAATGAAGCTCCAAAGTGATTCTGCTCTTTGTAGAGTGAGGACTGTGACCTCTGGGTGGAACACAGGGATTGTAGCCTTCGCAGACCAGTATGCACAAATGGAAAGGGGAAAACCCCAAAAGCATAATAGGGCCCCTTTAATCTAACTATATTCAATAGGAAATGTTGTCTGAGGGCATTTTCGTTTCAGTGCGGATGTCATTTGACGTTTGAAGTTTGATCAAATATCTCTGTAGAAGCCTCAAATGTAAAAAACAAAACAAAACAAAAAGCAACAAATCTGTAAAGCTCTAACTTTAGCGAACATTCATGTGTGTGTGAGCTAGGGAGCCTACTGTGTTGACAAGATGTGTCAGAGTTTGTAAACTGTTTCCGATATAGTTTCAGTGTATCCCCTAGGATGGAGTCATAGCAGCGGTGCTAAGGCACACGGGCCTAGCAAAATGTGTGTGCGTGCAAAGTGCGCTCCGCCAATATGTTTCTATGTGTCTGCCAGCTCAAGAAAGGCTCCTGAGGCTCCACAGGTGTATTTTGCTAAATCCTCTTTATTGCACATACAGTAACGCAAATACACATCCACATAACAAACAATCAAAATCAAATGCATGCAATTTAATTATTTTAACCTGCTTTATTTGGGGGTGGACCTCACCTCCTCTAGGGGGGTCCGGGGGCATGCACCCCCAGGAAGTTTTGTTTTTAAATGTTGAAGTGAAAAGCATCAACCTGGTGCACTTTGAGAGCAACATGAATGTATGGACACAGCTCTCAACACTCAGATGAAGGGGAGCTGTGTACTTTTCAATAATCCAAACATCTTTAGAATATGATCACAACCAATAACAAATCATTTAAACTTATTATTCTTATCTTATGTTACCTAGTTAGTATTCTTTCTTTTTTATTTATGCATATTTTACTCACCACTCCCCTTTTAAACTGTTTTTTTTTACTGTCCTATAGTAGACATTGGAATGATTTCTTACTTTATTTTGTACAACTATATTAAATAGATACAGGTGTGCTCTCTAGCTCTCTCTCTCGCTCTCTCGCTCACAGAGGCTGTGTGCTCCTCCGTGGCAATGACACGAGCGACACCTATTATCATTTTAATGTATACAAATATATATTATTATTATTATAAATATTATTAACATTTATGAAGACTTCTCTTTCCTTTCTCGACCCTTTGTTCACCTGGGAGTTATGTAAGGCGTTTGATTTAACATTCCACGTCACATGAGATGATTAATTGGCACATTGGGGGTGGAGTAATCATTTCACCTGAATGAGCTTCCTCTCTGCTCCTGTGCCAGGTAACTGGGTAAACCAGTGGCACTTCAAAGCATGCCGGTGCAAGAAACCGTTGGCAACGTTTCTCGGCGCTGGGGACGCTTTCCTTCTGAGAACCTCCGTACACACAGTGAGGTCTGACTCTATTTACCTTCTTTAGAACGTGTTGTGAGAGTTGATTTAATAGGCCGTAGCTGTAAACAACACGACAAGGCTTTTATGATCTTACCAGGATCACACGTTTATTAGACAGCCTGGTGAAAACTGATGTGAACGGGGGATTTCAGGGCTTTTATTCAGAGTGGGATATTTACTGCCAACGAGATTTCCGAGAGATTGTAAAACCGAGAAGAACACTGAATAGATCTACAATTAGAATGGTTATACACAAAAAGCTAATTCTATTGCCTTACAGTTACTTTGAAAATAAGGGTAATCAGATTAAAGTTACTTATCCTAAAGTTAGGGATTACTAGCAGGATTACAATGTTTATACAAACCTAAAAAGATCATATAGAGGATCAGATGTTCTGTTCTGTAGGCTTTCAGTGTGAAACTACTGCTGCCTGAATCTGCTTTATGCTTTCTTTGCTTCATTTGTTCGGTTTATAATTCAGTAAGTGAATTTATATGTTCATCAAATAGAGTGTGAGTTTAACTGTGTGTATTAAAGTAAAACAGAGCATTTTCTCATTTGATGTCAGCTTTTTTAAACTGTAGTGTTTAGTAGTGTAGTGTAGCTCATGTGTTTCATTGTTGGTGTGTAGGTGTGTGATTTTCCTACTGATCAAATCATTGTTGATACTCAACATCTTGGCTTCTTCTTTTCTAATACATTGTTCTGTTGTCTTACACAATACACTTAAGTAAAACCATCTTATTGATATTTATTTATTTCCCAGTCTGCTCTGATAGGTTAGCTGGCCGGCACTGTTGTGATTGGTCAACTGATTCGAAATGGTTTACCCTTTAGCCTATCACCTACAATGTGTTGGATCGCTAGCCAATAGAAGTGCGGGAGGGAGAGACACTCATTGGGATGTAAGTCTTTGCAGACCATTTACATGCACACAAACCTTTAAAACACTCTGCAGGAAATGGAAAACTCCAAAAAGCATAATAGGGCTCCTTTAAAGTAACCCTCCTAACACTGATATAAGATAAAGATAAGATGAAACCTGAAAGATGATTGGCCCCTCACCGTATATTTGTCCCATTTCTTCTCAGGATCGTACGGCTCCCAGCGACTGGCAGGGAAGATGTGTTTGTTCTTCTCATACCAGCTCCTCAGCACCACTTTACCAGCGTGAGACTTTAAGACAAGAACACAGAAAGGGTGTTTCACTTTGCAATGAATGCCCACTCAAATGATCATCCAAGGATTTCTGCACACTTGAGATGTACGCAGAATGAACTGGTCACCAAGAGAACATCCATTATGGGAATTATGATTCAATGTTTGACTGCAAGCAGAGGCACAATGAAATATGTTTGGTTACATGTGAGATCCTGTTTAATGCTTTCTAGGAAGGCGCTCGGAAGCTGTCAGTTCATCATAACAAGTTGAATATGTGTTGCAGGGCAGTGATGACTTAAGATGGGAAATGCTGATTTGAATTAATTCTCAAATAAGCAGGTTNCAGATTTGCTGAGGTACAGTATGAACCAGGTGGCTGTTCTACATCACCAAATAGTCAGACAATTATTTAACTAAACAAATACTGAATTATAGTCCTGTTTACAGGACTATAATTCAGTATTTGTTTAGTTAAATAATTGTCTGACTATTTGGTGATGTAGAACAGCCACCTGGTTCATACTGTACCTCAGCAAATCTGAAGAGGAAAAGAATGGTCATTCTCAAGTTATGGGCTTTTTAGTCACCATTCCCACATTCGGCCTGGTCTAATTTGGCTCTTTTTCAGGGATTGGGGTAGTTCTAAAGAACAACCCAAAAAACATTTTTTCCCCCGAAAATAAAATTTGACAACAATCAATTTCATTAATGGGAGACCCTAAAGATAAAAAAATCATTGTTGTCATTTTTTCTACCTCGGGTAGGGGCATCTCAAAATCTTAGGGCCCTTCTATGAGAGCCCATCTGTTAAACAAAGACTACTTTGACTTTGGCTGCTTATTGGAATCTTTGCTCACAATGCTTTAACTGAAGTCATTTTCTTAAGGTAGCAATTACTTGCATTGGATCATTTTCTCAGTGTGGGAAGAATGTCAAACACGCTGCTTCCCCTGCAGCTGCATGACATGGCTGCCGTGTACAAGAGGAGGTTAGAAGGGTAGTAGAGACAGCTCGGATCCCAACGGGCTAATAAACAGACATTACATTCACTTATAGTTTTGAATGCAGTTTTTTGTTATAATTAAATATGGTTCAAACGCTGATTCAGGAGCTTCAAGTTTCTTCTGTGTAACACCTGGCAAGTCGGGTTATACATTGTATCCAGAAACCTGAACATTCTTTTCATTATTGCGCAGAACATTTTAATACCTGACAATAAACAGCACGTCTGAAGGGTCATGGAACAGATGTGGAGGGCCAAAGGCATCTCTCCTTGCTTCATGTTATTTTTCTGATCCCTGATCTTGATTGTGAACTATATGGAGTTAAATGTGGGCAAAAGGTTTGATTTAAAATAATAAAATGTATTTGAAAGTTTAAGTTTTAATGCCGAAACTTCTTTGGAAACTACTATTATGAACTCATACAGTAAAAAGAATTGGACATTTTTGCATTTAGAGTAGTTATTATTTTTGAATAAATAGTTTATTCACTTATATATTATATTTCTCTATTTATTTTTGATATTTGAGTACTTATTTTTCTCAGTTTCTTAATACCAATTTTATTTATGATTCTTCTAATTTCAGGAACAAAATGTAAATCTTATAAAAAAAACGTTTTTTTCCTTTCAAATGTTTTTGGTGCTGATTTAGCTCCATAGAACTACTGGACAATTTTACATATATTAAATTCTTAAGACTTTGTGAAGGAAATTCTGGTATTGAATTACCAAATATTTGAGATAACAGGAGCTCTGTTGTATAGAGAGAATTGATGACACTACAGGAATAGAGGGGAAGAGAAACAATTACAATGCGGGGCTTTCTGTTAATTCTACTTGTGAAAGGTCCTTGTATGGTGTTGTTGCAGTATAGGACTTCACCCAAAATAATGTTTTATGGCATGTAAGTGGTCTTTGATGTATTCCAATAAGAGAGTCGCTCACAGTCTAAAAGATTATTGGTCGTTGTCCGAGAGGCTAAATCATCAGGCATGGGGAATAACGGAGTACATGTAACAGGATTATGTAATCAGGAAACAAAAAAAAAGGTAACTGCATTCCCTTACCTTTACATACCAAAATGTGGGGATTACTAGCAGGATAACAATGTTACTGAAACATGTAAAAGAGTATATAATGTTTGTTGTAAAAGGATCAGATTGTATTTGTTATTTGTAAGATACTTTCAGTGTGAATTTATACTGCCTGAATCTGCTTTGTGGTTTTCACTTTCTTTGCTTTATTTGTTCTGTTTTAATTCAGACGTGAAAGTAACCCTCCCAACCCTGACCGGAACCCTATTGATCATTGTCCCCAAAGGCTTAATCATGGCCATATTCCGAGTGTAAAGTAACTAAGTACTGTATTTAAGTAACATTTTGAGAGATTTGTACTTTACTTGAGTATTTCCATTTGTTTTACTTATACTCCACTCCACTTCAGAGGCAAGCTACCCTGCAGTATACAAAGTCATTCAAACTAGCTGCACCTTTACCAGCTTTGGGAACACTTTCATGATCAATAATTATAAAAGAATATCATATATATTATTCAAAAATGGACCAACCTGCGCAATGAGTACTTTTTACTTTTGGTACTTTAAGTATATTTTGATGCTAATACTTTGGTACTTTTACTTGAGTAACATTTTGAATGCAGGATTTTACTGGTAACAGAGTATTCCAGAGAGTATTCTGGTACTTCTACTTTCACTTCAGCACAAGATTTGAGTACTTCTCCCACCTCTGCAAATTGCTAGCAGATTGGTTTCAAGTATGTCATTATAAATACTAGAACCTATAACATAGCCTATCAGTTTCAAAACAGCTTATTTCTTCATATTTTTCTTACAGCAGCAAGCTGTTGTATTAGCTGTAAAGTGTCTCTACTGTAGGCTATTTTTATTATATGTACAGCACTTTGGCTCAACCAAAAATCGTTTATAAATGTGCTATATAAATTAAAAAAAATTTGATTTGAATATGTACGTGAGCAAAACTGCCTGCTCTGCTAAAATGACTGACATGTTGTGGCTTGGACCTCAGCTGTCTTTGAAATGCCAGAATTATGCATAAATGGACTCAAATGGGTAGCTCCAGGCAGTAGGATTAGGATACTATCACAGAGCTACAGCTGCTCCTGGTGCATATGCCTCTGGACGAGAGTTGTTTACCTTCGAGTGGGCCGAGGTACAATGTGAGGTTGTTTTACACACAACGTTTATATCAGTTTTTGGAGGGAGATACTTCCTTTGTTGCACTGCCTGGGGTTTCTGACATTTTTGCGGGATTTGTTCCTACTGCAAACGGTGTTGTATGCTGTACACATTCTTACAAACTCTGAATGCAAATGTTTATTTTCTGATTTTGGATGATCTAAGTTCGATGTTATTCGATTGTGACGATATGCCTCTTCAGACATCATGTGTCCTATGTTTATTGCATTGTGAGAATTCCAACTGAGGGCTTCCACTTCGTGCCTTGAACGCTAAAACATACATGTATGTTCTTAGCATTCAAGGCACGCAAGCTAAGAACATTTAAGTTCTTAGCTTGGGTGCAAGTTTGTATTTAGGCTCGAAAGACATTCTGATGGCCTTAACCAACCTGACAGTTGAACTACCATTGTTTGAACCAACATGCTTACACATTCTTTGTCACTCTTGCCTACTATTGCGTTTCTTCCTCTCTCATTTGCTCCACCTGTTTCTCTAGTTATGCTCTCTAAACTTGCAGGGCAAATGGGCTTTACGTAAGTGTGTACCTACAATGCGGTTTGACTAAGACATTCTGGTTTCAAGAAATCCTATTGGGTTGATGACTAATGCCTTTGATGTGTTCTTTTTTTGAACCGGTTCAGGTTACTTGCAGTCATTTGTTTCACAACAACAACCCGACACCCTGTGATACTGTGAATTGGAACCATATTTTAATTATTGAGCATTACACGGAAACATTCAGAAACAGAGCAATATTCTTTTATAATATGATTTATTATACCATATAATCAAGACCAGGTCCACTGTCTGGCTCATTGTTCCGGACATTCCTCTTCGGTTCAAGATTATTTTACACAAAAGACAGAGAAACACTATACAAAATAGGGAGAGAGTAAAAAGTGGTCACACTATGAACACTCCGTAAACATAGACCTCCACCAATGCTGTTTCCCTGCAAAAGAAAGCTTGTATTTGCCCATTGATAAAGATTTGCTCCTTAATTCAACGGGTTCCCCCTGGCCCAATGATTCACTCTTCCTACAAGTATCATAAAAACCAAGACAGTACTATTTTTTCAAAGAACCCAACAATTAATTCATTAAAAAAACACAACCTTGTCATAGGCCAAAATTGCTAAAGGCATCAATACTTTACTGCCAAACTGATTTATCAGGTATGGAAACAATAAATCTTATTTTTTAATTAACATTAGCTCTCCGGCTATTCAATGATCTTAAAAGACAAGGATGCCAAATCAATCAACAACACTAAATATTTCCAATACAATTAATTTTATTGATGTTATTAAAAGCTTATAGCTCAGTGTGTGTTTCTGCTTTAAAACAACTTGGGAAAGCAGTGTGTGTTCTTGGCTTCTTTGACCCGATACTCCTTACACGCACTCCTGGAATTATGTTGACCATGGATAAAATCTAATGAGATGTTTAAATTAACCAACCTATGTCATCTGTTTTGGTTTGTGTGCAAATGTTCATCTGTCATAATGCTACGTTTTTATTCACCTTCATTTAGTCAAGCTGTTCGTCTGACATAAAACTGTTAAGATTTGCAATCAGAGTTCGATATGCATTAAAAAAGAAATGCAGTTAAATGTGGTCAGTATGAATTAATTATTGCTTTCTCTCCTGCAGGGAGGACCTGGATGTGAATACTGCAGAATAACCAGAGCTGATGTCAAGACAGCTCTGGGCTTTAACTCTTTTAAAGAGTTTGGAAGTAAGTCGGGATGCACGAGAACCCAGTGCCGAGAATGCAGTGGGATACTTTGTTGAAGCATTATACCAAATTGCGGAAACAGCTTTTGGCAGCAGTAAGATGCTTTAACTTCAAGCTATTTACCCTGCAGGACATTTACCAAAAGCTACACACATAATTATATGTATAATGCAACCCTTATTATGTTTGAACAAAGGCCAGCCTAATACTTACCTAACCCAGTAAGGGTGTTGCCAGTTGTCATCACTCAGATAATAATATAGGAAAGCAAAGTGCATCAGTCTACTGTATGTAATAGATTAAAAACAAATTGTGCATAATGTTAGATATGAATTAAACTTCACCCTATTTTATTTGCAATGATAAACCACATTTAAATTAATTAAGCTAAGCTAACGGTGTAGCCTCTGTCCACTGGGTTGGTCCATTAGCTGGTTGGTGCACCTCTTTGGTTCAGACTGAAATCTTTCAACTATTGGATGGAATACAAATACAATAAATCCTATTCTATAGAGCCCGTAAGGTCCTGCAAGAATGGTAATAATAATTGTAACTTTAGGGATGCCCAGACTTTCACTTAGCAATGCTAGCTAGCAATGCTCAGGTCCAAATTGTCTGTATCCAATACTGATCAAATACCAACATAACTGTATAGTCCCATAAGGCTAAGAAATACTTTGTTTGATGCTAAGTTGATAATGTTAGCACGATAATGCTAGGTCAATGTAAAATAACAAGATCAATGTTTCCTGTTGTTATAGCATGCTAACGCTAGCAATAACAACCTCACAGAGCGTTTTGCAGAGTTGCAGACTACAGTCTTGCTTACATATCTTTCACATTACATATCCAGAAGTGGATGCTAACTTAAAATCATAACTGAAAATATCTGAGACACTTGTATCCTCATTTGGCATCTATTCATCCATTGTTATTTCTCCTCAGGCTGTATTCCCTGGCCATGTTTTGAGTTGCTAGGAAAAAAAGACCCACAAATCTGTCAGCACTACGTCCACGGTCCAAATAATGTGGAGGTTGAATTTGTAAATGAACCAAATTCAGAATCTGACACCATAGTTGTCTCCTGGAAGCCCAGCTACTATGGTAGGTTGACATGGATGGACTAAGCCAATTTCTGTAAACAACTTATGGTAGTGGTAGTGTCAACAATTTGTATTCCATTTGAACCGTGCAGTGAATTAAACCTATGATGTTTGACAATGTAAATGCATGTTGAGAAATATACAGTTTGTCATAGGCTTATTTTACCATTTTGTTTGTTTGAAACCACAACAGGCCTTCTGATTAGCTTGGAGGCAAAACATTTTTTAATATTCATGAAGTCGTTTTTGAAGTCTCTAGGCAGTTTTGAAACTCATATATCATATTAGACACAAAGTTCTTCCTCTAAAGGATTTTTGTCAGGATTTGACATGCAACATTTATTTCAGGTGAAATTGATTGAGTCTACTGAAAGGTGATACACGATGTGTCACATTATGAGAATGCTTCAAAGATTATGAGACAACCTGTTTGATCATTGTTGTTGGTATGACAAATGACAGATGAACACTTTCTTGTTGGAACATTAATTGACCATGACTTGAACAGGTAGCACATTGTAGAACACACATGTATATATTTGACAATGAAGTATTAACATGCAAGTTGGGTAATCAAGACCCTGTGAGGCTGAATTAACTCTGTCAGTTTGGTGTTTGATTTAGGGATCGCCTTCCTGCGAGGCTTTCAGGTGTCACTCCAGGCTCTGGGAGGGTCAAGTTTTGCCTGTCAGCTATTCCTCTTCCACCGTAACCTCTCCCTGCCTGCTTCACAATCCAAAAGGGTAAGCAGGGCCTCTTGCTTTGACCGTTTTCTTTCTGGTATGTTGTTTTTGACAAAACAAGTTCTTGTTACAGAGTTCCCACGACTTTTACCAACAACATTGCTCCAGTAAACATTATAATACTACTTTATCCATATCCATTTATTTTAAAAACATTTACTATTGATTGACTTGATTCTGTATTTAAAGCGCGAACAATTTCTAGTTTAATAATTAAAATAGTTTTTTTAAAGTATTATTTATTGACTTGACTTGTTTTTCATGTTGTCCATACATGTGCTTTTTCCAAAATAAAACATGTAACTTACTTTATACATATAAAACAAAACATTCCTTATTGCATGCCTTAAATTTGAAGGCAATATTAAATTTCTATGTGCAAAAATATACCATGTTGTATAATTTAGATGTTTTAACGAAAGGACACTCAGATCCTCCAATGCCTTTCTTTTAGAAGTACCTAAAGTATTTCACAAGACATCTGGGGAGGCTGCTTTCTGTTTGAATGTCCCCAAACTGTGGAAAAGCCTCCCATTGGATCTTAGAACAGAAAGTAAATTAAAGACCTATCTTTTAAATGTGGCTTTTTATTTGAGTGGTATCACTGTTCATGTTTTATGGTACTGTGATACAATTATTTCTGTTTGTTCATAACTTGTTTTTAATTATGTTCCTCACTCTTTATTTTGTAAATCTTTTTTTACCAGTGAGTTGATTATAAAACTTCCCCACTCTCCCAATGGGAGAAACACAAGTGCACGGTGTCCTTCATTATTTGAAAAATGATGACCTGATGATCCTCCCTAAATCATCTGAAAATATGTCTTAATGCGAAACAGTTGTGGATCTTACACTAAAGGTCATCCAACGGTTGTAAAATTTGCAGAAAGAAAGCCTATTATTTATGTCTCCTTTTTGGATTGAAAAATGTCCTTGAGGACGTAGCACATCCTGTACGACCTCACGCACATTGCAGATGGGTGTTCAGAATCCCACACTAGCTCAGGTAGACACACAGGCTCCATAGCAGCAGGTGTTAGTGATAACAATGTAAATACATTTCTGACAGGAGATCTAGGGGACCAGTCTGATTACATATTATTAGTTTTTCCTTGCTTTGACATGGAGAAAAATACATTTTTCGCTATTATGGCACATTACAAGGCAACGGATTGCTGTCCATTTACTTTAAAGTCTTTAACATGTGCAACTATGTTCATACCTTTATATATGCAGTCTATGGTTCATACATTTTGTTGAGCAGTCATCATAGAATAAATACAAATGTGTTGAACCAACAAGTTGTTTTTACAGTAAGGGGTCGAGGATACAGGTTACAGCGCAGGAGGCGGGCCCCATTCATCCCTATATGAAAGTTGCTCAGTGGCACATGAGTCCAAAATGAAGCAACTGTAGGTTTATCAAGGGTCTTTTCTTGAAAGAGCATGCACACTTGAGTTTTCCCCCAGTCAGATGAATGGAGAGGGAAATTAACCCAGTTTTCGTACTGGGTAGATAATATATAATTGTTTTGATATGTTGATGTACAGACGTCTCTTTCCCAATGTAAGTCATTGTGGGCCAAAAAGACATCACTGACGAACACAGAAGTTTTATTACCACCGTTTGGCCACTAAGGCCATTCCAAAAATCTGCCTTAACGGCCGGCACACTTCCTGGGGGCTTGGAATACAGATGTAAATGAGCTTATAGCTAATAAGCTGTGCACTGTTTTTGCACAACTTTACTGTACTACTAGTATTCTTTTCATAAAAACTATAGGAACTGGGAGATTTCTCCCCTGCATGTCAAATGTTGACAAAATTGCCAAAAGATAATTGTGTATCTGCCATGTGATTTGAAATCTGCTCCTAAATGTAGTTCCCATGCTACATCCTTCCACCAATTTTATGAAAATTAGCACAGTAGCAACACACAAAAATCATGCAATAAATTCCCTCAAACTTAGTAGAAATTAGAATGTGTCTGTCGGGACATGGCTCAGAACTGTAGGGTCGATGGTTCAAGTCCAGATCGGACCAAAGAAATACGGATCGTGGACTGGTAGCTGGAGAAGTGCCAGTTCACCTCCTGGGCCCTTCCAAAGAACCATTACGCAAGGGATTAAACCCCCTGTGCATGTGGTCGTGTGTATGTCAACACATGTGAAACCCTGAATTTCCCCTCGGGGATTAATACAAATCTGTCTTTCTTTCAAAGAAGTCCAAATGCAAAAGCTTTCATCATTAAACCAAATGCTCAATCACCTTTTCCCCACCATCATACAAAGATAGGCACTAACAAATACAAGGGGTAATAAAGTTGAAAAGTTTAAGATCACATTCTCCTCAACCATTAACATGCCAAAACTCTACTTATCAGAGAAGTTTGTGTAGCGCGTTGGATGAAACCAACATTATGACCTTTGCTTCACTCTGCAGGTGTACAAGTCGGACCCTTTCCCCGGCCTCCCCCTGGGATCCCAGTATGCTGTTACTGTCATGGCCCTGCCGGTGCCTGAGGAGTGGGAGAGGTTCTACCGCAGCAGGAACTTCTCCTCACGCTGTAAGACCCCTTTAAGCCAGATGTTATCTCAGAAGGCACACTCACGGAAACTATCCCTGCAGTTTAAAAAGCGTTCGCTGCCTAAGGACAACCTTCCAAACCCTTCCTTGTTGTATTGTGTTTGGGCGTGTGCTTGTCTGTCCGCAGCTAATCTCACAATCTACTGCACACTTCAGCCTACAATTTACAATAGTTATTTATGACAGTACGATTCAGGATCTTCCACGGTTTTTGTGAAGTGGACTGTCTTAAACTTTAATTTACTGCTGCCTCCTATTTGGTAGTGGCCATAAGCGACATCTTTAGTTGTGGCGTTACCAACTTAAAGTCTAGTAATCATCTGAAAGAGGACATAATATGCAAATGTTCATGTTCGTAATTTTATTTTGTGCCTCTACTGTGACATGTTTCCATGCTTTAATGTTCAAAAAGGTCTTTATTTTTCTCATACTGCCTGGGCTGGAACAACTTATTTCACCCTCTGTCTGAAACCAGAGTCCTGTCTGTTCTGATTGGTTAGCTGGCCAGCTCTGTTCTAATCACTCAACCACTTATAGACATCACGTACAACGTGTTGGAGTGCTAGCCAATAGAAGCACGAGTGTTACCTAGTGACGTCTTCATGTTACAGAAGTAAACAAAATAATCCAGTAGAGGCAGGGGGGGGGCGTGTGTGGGAGAGAAACTCCCTCTGGAGGGAACACAGGGATTTTAGCCTTTGCAGACCATTTACATGCAGTAAAAACTATTTACCACACTACAGGAAAAGGGAAAACCCTAAAATCCTGAAACACCTCGATTGGACTCCTTTGTTTACTCCTGCAGCATAGTGACATCACTATGTAACACTTGCGCTTCTATTGGCTAGCGTTCCAACACATTTAACGTGCTAATGCCCTTTCCATATGATTTTATTTATGTTTTTATTGCTTTCTTGTTGGTTTCACTCTCTGTGTTTAGCTGCTGGTTTTTAATCAAATTCCATCTCTTTGTATATCAATGTGTTATGTGAATAATAATGTGCATGTCATGGTTTTGCAGCATGTGCGGAAAAGAATGGTCTTGAGAAGTGCAAAAAAGGTGAGAGAAAACGAGAAAAAATCTTGTAAATATTTCTCAATATCATTATTTTGACATGTGTCAATATTACATGTTGTGGTTATAGATTGGTACCCCAAACACATCGAGGTGCAACAGGAAGGGACTGCCATCACCGTGACCTTTAATCTGGCTCCTCCACAGCTGGGCATCAGGAGCTACTTCTCCCTGTGTTATGCTAACAGCATGAAGAAATACACCGACATCTCTCCTGTCAGTCCACAGCTTTAGATTCATGTTTTATTTAATGCATTAATACCTTGCTTCTGTGGATTGATTTGTAGACTTTTTTGATAACCGTTTTACCTTAATAATTCCCTTAGAATTTCAAGAAAAACAAAACTCACCACAGCTTTCAGATGAATGACCTTCAAGAAGGAACCAATTACACTTGTGAGGTAAAATCTAATTATTATTACACCTATGGATGTAGATTTGTCGTAATTTAACAATACCTTACAATTTAAAAACGTTTTGTAAGTTAATAAAGATGTGTTTATATTGCGAATATAAAACAGATCTGCAAAAATACAAACAAACATAGACAAATGTACTTCAATTATTGCTAAATATGGGCTATTGTTTTGTGTGGCTTTGATTTAATAAGTGATTTTAAAATACCAGACTTTAAACAATTATTTTATTTGGGCTATGCTGCTTTAAATATTCTTTTGTTTTTGTTGTCTTAAAAGAACATTTCTTGTAGTTTGACAAAATAATTGTAACTTTAGTTACGCTTCTGGCTTTTAAAAAACTTTTTTTATGGAATTTATCACCATATTTGATATGTGCATGAGGAACTCCCTCTGATTCTAGCCTCTGCAGTCCATTTACATGCATAAAAAGGGAAACCCCCAAGAAGCATAACAGGGCCTCTTTAATATTCTTTATCAAACTGCTATTTCCAAGGTCAATAATAAAACTCGATCAACATTTCTTGTGTCACAGATTGCAGCTGACCAAATGGACGCAGTAAGGAAAACCTTCAAAGTTCAGGTGTTGGACTTCCTCAAAGGTAGGGGAGGCAGTTTTGTTGCTGCTGTGTTCGTATCTGTTATGCTTTCCTGTGGGCTGTTCAATTTCAATTCAAGCAAAATCAATCTCTGGCTTGATTCGTCAGTTTGACTGAATGATCATGTTTCTATAACTCTCCCATCCTCAGCAGTTTCAACACCTCACTCTGTGAGTCCCTCATTGGCTCTGATGCTCCCACTGGGCCTGTCTGTGGCAGCCATATTTGTAGTCCTAGTGGCTGCTCTCATCTGGAAGACCAGGCTGCAGATGAAGAAAGTGTACATTAAACCAGGTGCAAAGACAAACCGAGAACTGTTTTGCATTGCTGGATGCTAATTTAAGGTCAAATAAAAAAAAAAAAGTTTAGTCATGCCAGATGTATTTTTGTCATCCGTTCAGAAATAATAAGGCAGCAAGAAGAGAGCGGCACTCAAGAGGGAGTGATGCCTCTGCCCAGAAACAGGCCGACCCCTCCTCGTCTTCTGATTTGCTACAGCAGCTGTGACGGCCCCGCCCATGTTAAAGCCGTCATGCAGTTAGGGGCCTTCATACAGCAGCACATGGCCACTCAGGTATAGAGGACACGACACTACACGGCTTTACAGTACATTTAGAAGATGCTTTTTTTTCCAGGGTTAGGGTTAGACACACACATTTTAACCCTAACCCTCTTCCAATGGGACTTACAATAACTGCATTTACACCAAAGGAAAACATTAGAAAATGGCTCAAAATGGTAGAAATTTTTTTCTTTAACTCTGCATTGTTGGCACTATGCAATTAGTTTTTTTTTTTTTTATCATTTTGGTGGTGAAAATGCATAAAGCATACATTTTTCCATCCTCAGCTGTATAATGTTAGTTTTTACTATTTTCTACCAGATTGACATTTTCTAATATTGTCCTATAGTACTAATAACTGCAATTGTCTTGGTTTCCACTACAGTAATTGCTGGTGTATTATGGAGTACTGCAATGTTTGATGCAACAGATCCACTCACATTTTGCTAAACATAACCATATGTGAAGATAAAACATATCCCTGGATGTTAGTTTACAGAAAATTATTCATTTTAAATTATTCTTTCTCCAAAATCAACAATTGCATTATGTTAACAAACTGGCATAGGGTTAACAATTTTCAAAATGTGTGAACTTTTTATAGTTATGATCTGGACTACCTTGGTTTAAAAGCTAATCTCAGTGAAAGTGGAAAATAATATTAATATATCATTTTTTTTTTTATGGCGGTTTTTAACACGGAAATATAAAAGCAAAGCAACTGTTTTAAAGAGATGCACAAGTCATGGTAATAATAAAAAGTAGACATTTCTGGACATTCTTTTTCAACATCTAACAAAGCCTATGATAATATTGTCTATTATTTAGTTTAATTTGTGTGGTTAAATGGGTTATCCAATCAGTTTGAGGACGCTGCTCTTTTTTGGTCTTCCCAGATTCCCAGTGGTATTTACTCTATTTCGTACAACACAACTAGTAGCCTACATCTCTTTATTAACCGCAGAATTTAACTCAGTAATCTAACTACAAAGACATTCAAAATCTTTCCAGACCTGGGAGCCTGCAAGGGGGAAAATGTGTACTTTTTATGACTCATTCCTCTACCACTCGATTGTTTCGAGTGATTGTAAAAAAAAATTCTTTGTTGATTTTTTCATTTCATTTCAAACATTTATTTATCCAGGTGTATCCCATTGAGATCATTGATCTCTTTTTCAAGGGAGACCTGCTCAAGTAGGTTCCACATGAAACATAAAAACATAAACAGACAACAAAAAGGACATCATACAGCTCATTACAGGGTCCAATTACAAACTACCACAAACAGGTACCAACAGCTTCCGATTTGGAGCTAGCATTCAACCAAGCTTTAAAAACATTAGGGCACAGATTGCTCAGTTTCCATCAATTGCAGACTACCAAGACAGGAGCCTGCGCATCTAATATGCTATCTTCCCTAAGACAGTCCTAACAGTCACATTTAATAAAACTACAGCATCCCGATTCAGGCAGCTTAGGCCACTTACAATTTGTTGCTGCAGATCAGGGATGCCAGATGTAGCGATGGAAGTTCCCTAACATGGCTTTTGTATATGAAAATGCCTACCAGTGACTTGAGCCTCCGTCAGTTTAATGAAAGCCAAAAACCAGCCCCTTGCCCCATACAGGCGTACAGTGATGGGTTAATGCTTTACAGTTTGTCACAAATCTCAGTGCGCTGTGATACGCAGCATCTAACTGACCTAGGCAATGGCAGGTCATTCATATAAAATCAAATCACCATAGGTCCAGCAAGGTAAAAAAGGTCACATGACTAGCCTTTCCTGTACCTCAAACGAAAACAAGGACTTGGTCCTGTAGGGAAGAAAACCTAGCTATAACCCTCAGTTTTTTAAGCCCAGGTTATTTACATGCACCGTTTAAAAGCCCTGAGACAATCATCAAGCCAGGATACCAATGGTATTTGTAAACAGGGTAACCGCACTTCATCTTTTCTATTCCTTGCATAGTTACATATATCTACAACAGGCCCTTGGTGTCCTTTCTTAGCTTTTGAAAAGAGCATCTACCTTAGATTTTATCAAGCATTTAAAAGAAGCCCTTTTAGTTCGAGAGCTGAGTCTGAATAATGTTAGATGAATGTTGCATGGTTGCGATTGCCGCTAATTGCCTCGCATCATGGAACAATCACAAGTTCAGACTATCTGACACCATACTATTTATCTACTGGCGTCATTTACTCCTCACGGTGTGCCATGACCTGTGGGACTCTCCTTCGAGCGGGCTGATTGACGGGACGCATGCCTGCCGCACTGCCCGGCAGATCCCTAGGGAGAGCAGTGACTTCATGCTTGCTGATATGTTCCTGGGGCCTGAACCGCAGGGCAGTGAAGAAGACGGGGGCAGACGACAAGGACCTCCACTATGGCTCTAACGCCCTTCTGTTTCTTTAAGCCCTGTCACGTTAAACGTTCATTGCCGAGGGCAGCGCAGGTGGCTGCACGCCAAACGGCCCAGACAGGCCAGCTGACTCTGTCCAAATACGAGCGCTGGAAAAGACCCAACACATCTCTCCCTGACTTACTTCGCCCCCAAAGCACTCGCAAACTGTCATCCCAACCACACCTCCGGCTACCGACTTCTCTCACCATACATTACCCTACT